AATACATTTATACAAGCCTAAATACATGATCTCTCAGATTTCTCCAGGCTTCGGAAAAATCCACCTTATTATTTTTTACACTAAGGTACTTTAGAAGCAGCCATGACTCTTTAAACTGCTCTGAGTAACGCATACTGCCCATGCTCGTACCAAACCATTGCCGCAGAAAGCTGCACTGGGCGTTTGTGTGAAAAAGGCATCCTCCACTTGAAATCCTTCAGACTAGAGCAGTGCAGACAAGAGGACACCCTGCCCCTCCAAGGACTTCTAGGATTTCTTCAGTGGCCTCACAAGCACATGGACTTGGAAAAGAATTGTAGAGGAAGGCAACTAGATACTAAGGGCTGTTGCGTAAGCGAGTGGCATCATCTGTTTTGTAACTTTGGGTTATAGGACAAGGACCCCTCAGCTGGGGAAACACAGCCCAACTGCAAGAAATCTGAGGAGGAGCTGGGCCACAGAAGGACCATTCTTTCTTCCAGGAATGGAAAAATGGGAATTATCTCTGTCAATCCAGTTTAAATGCCAGAACAGAAAGATCTATAGACAAAGACCGATCAGGGATGAGAAGAATGAAAAAGAAAATAATGCTTTTCATTTCCTTTTGGATGCAAACAGATTTTGTTCCTTCCAAATATAATCTACAATCTCCTTTCCAAATTTTGCCAGCAACTGGGACAGCTGCTGAGTAAGAGCCAACATGTGGCTGAGGCACATGTAGCACTCTGATTTTTACTTCCTTTCTTTGCTTGGGTAGGTAACTTTGTCTCTCTAAGTGAATACTAAAAAACACCCCTTGAAATTTAGATGCCATTGTTATTGCTTTTCCATTATATTTATTGTGTTCTTGGCTCATACAGGATTAATCTGGTTATTTAGACTAAGAATTCAATACCAATACAAAATTTAGGCCACTAAAATCTGCCTGTTTGGGATTTTCTTTTTTTTTGAGCAGGTACAAATAATGATCACATTTTAATCCTGCTATTTTCAATGACAAGCACACTGTGCATGTTTGCAGCACATTCACACACACAAACAAGTGGTGAGGATAGGGAATTTTTTGTATGCTGGTCTTACTACATTTCTTTTAATTAAAAAAACTTTATTTTTTACAAAATAAAATTTTCTTTCATGTAAAACATGTACAATGTACAGCAGTCAAAAGTGAATGACAACTGTACAATTAGCAACATTTTGAGTAGCAGAAATTATTAAGGTTGCCTAGTTAGCATGTACAGGAACTGCTTGAATTTCTTATTCTTTCAAAGCAAAACATGCAAAACCACATACATGCAGACATTACCACCAGAACACAACTCTTGGACAAGATTCAAACCTTGCAGTTCTCTGTAGATATCTGCTGCTACATACACAAGCGTTTCCCTGGATCTGACATGAAGAGAAATGCTCAAGCTCAATTGGCATTTAATTCCACTACAGGAAAGCAATAAGAAGCTAACCATGCAGTCCACGCCTAAATTCCACTGAAGTCAAGTACAAAGTATTTTATTGAAACAGAAATGGAGCTAAGCATGTGTAACCTCTCTTGACGATATAAACCTTGACAGAGCTGAACGCCTTGAAGAAATGTTTATGCTTAAATGTATTTTTTATTCAAATGTAACGCATTCTTTATTCTGATATACAATTAAATATATTTACTTACACAGCAGAAAACTTTCACAGCCATTTCCTCATCAAACTGGCCAAGGATTATCCGAACGTCATTACCCTGCAGATTGAATAAAATACGTGGCAGTTAAATACAGTCACAGCCTTTCCAGAAACCATTTCATTTGGCCATTCAAATTGTGTAGAGTTAGACAGATTACAGCTGCAGACAGCAAAATTAATTCAGAACTATTCCATTTTCTATACGTTCAAGAACTTGAAATACTGCAAGAGAAAGCAGCTGAGGTGCTTGAAGAAAATGATTAAGCAATAGAACTAATGAGAATAAAACTGTGATGTTTATCTTGTCAAATATTACTATTCAATAACACTAAAATATCAAATATTCTTTTGATCCCTTGCAATATTTCTTTTAAAATTTTGCATATTAAAACTAGCTGAAAATATATGTTTCTCACTGCTTACATGAACTAATGCTGTAAAGTTGAGAGACTGGAGATTTGTGAGATAAAATGCCTTGATACTGTGCCCACTTTAGTAATTTTTAAAGGTTTTACTCATACAACATCTTCTCTACAGTCACTATAACACATTGTCAATCCCTGCTCTCCTCTTCCCTCCCACCTCCACACATTAAAAAAAAAAAAATCACACTTTAAGAATCTATGACTGAAGTCAAAAGAGATCATTTTACTTTCATACTTAGAAATATGTTAAGAAAATATTCCTAAATTCAGGAGCATACACAGGAAAATATTTCTTCAGGAACTGGGCTAGCTTTCTTCTCATGTGAAAAATTGCTGTTAACAAGTATAAAACAGAGCAGATAGCTTTTTATGACTTAATATTACCTTTTATTTCACACAAAAGCTGAGTTCTCAGCAAAAGCCTGAGCAAATCTAATTTTTCATTTCTTTTATAAAACACTTGGTTAGAATTACTAATAGCTCTTTACCTCTCCAAGGGAAAAAGAAACAGATGATTCAGTGTGAATTTCAGTGGCGAAAAGCATTTCAGATTTAATTAAATCCATTTATCAAAGATTTTCAGTTTAGATAATTTTAATGTTTATTACCTTTTCAGCAGAAAATATTATGATGGACAGCGCAAAAAGATACTAGAATGCTTCTGCAATTAAATGCATGAAATTAGTAACTCTCTTAGAATGGTTAAAGTCAGAAAGAACGTAATGTGCTTTGCTCATTCTGAACCTGTGCATTTTCAGTAAGCCTGCTTCTCTTTATTTTTATATTTAGCCACAGATTGATAAAGTAATGTAAATCTTACTGAAGCGGATTAGATTCTTTTTAAACAAATCTAACAAGGTCACATGAAACTAAACAAATTACACAAATTACAGCAACAGTATTACAGTTTTTGTAAGGGCAATAAATAGATTTATGAATTATGCAGAAAAAAATCCCCTCATCCATTATTTCTATTTTTCACATTTTAAAAATAATTTTGGTCACTCTTGGAACTCTGACTGAATCGCTTGACCTCTCTGACATAAAAATGCAGATTTAATATTTGAAAAAAGAGTAGCAAAGTTTGGTTAAAAAATAAATGACACAGCACTCAATTATTAAACTTAAAATAGAATAAATTCCTTTTTATATTACAACATGATGAGAACCAATTTTAAAAAAACAGAACATGTGCATCCTCATACTTTTAGAGCGCCAGAGACTGTAGGCAAGGTGTAGAGAGTAACTCTACAATGCACGTGCAGAACGCTGACCACTGGCTATGCGGTGACGTTCAAACTGAAGGTGTAGTGCTTGTGGTATGCGGTACCATGCCTTAAGACATTACTTCCATCTGATTATCCCATAAACCAGAGTACACTTCCCACAGTGACTATTTTTTTACTGTAAAGCACTACAAGAACTGTATAGTTCATTCTATTTTTTCCCCAGAAATATCCTATTCCACTTCAATAACCTTAATGTCTGCAAGGATTGTCTTATGTAATATCACTGTGCAATTAGTTTGGCAATAGCACTCAGACCTAAATATTGCACATTGAGACACATGAATAGGTAGCTCTACAATTCCTTTTGTCTACAGGCACGCAAGAAAACAGGCACTCAAGAAACTCATCTTGAAAATGTTTTTCACACAAGGCATAGCAGAGCACCCATTCTAATATTGGCAGTCAATCCTATTTTCAAACATACTCTTCTTTTGTTCAGGCACCCAAGCAAATGGGTGTATTTGCCGATTTGTCCAGCTGTCAGCAGATCCCAGCTCTGAATACCTGACCATCTCATTATCTGACTAAGGATTTCAGGGAAGCTGGATTTTCTGTCAGGCAGGAATGACCACTTCCAGCACGAGCTGACCTTCCAATGACAGACCAGGAAAACTGCAAAGTGTGAGAATCACATCTGAACCAAATTCTTGAGAATCCCTGATGCTCAACTAGAAAGCTTCACGGCCCAAGTTCGAAGATCAGCTATGGCTCTAGAACTTGACAATCCATGATGTTCTGTCATCCTTGGAATGTATGATTGAGTCAAGATGCAATACCCAAATGTTCCTTTGCCTAAATTAATGAGTTTCCATATTAACACATAAATTACTGTTTTTGAAGCACTCAGTACAGTAAGGACATTAACATGACTGTTTTCACTAAAAGATTTGGATGGTATCCAACAACGAACTGACTGAAGAAGATCAAAAGAAAGGTTCTATTACCAGCTATTAAAGAATAAGTCATGAGTCCTCCATTTAAAGTATTATGCCGTTGAAGACTACAACAAAAGAAACTTGAATTGATTTTTCCCCAAAGAGTTAAAAGTTATAACCTTAATAATGTTCTTTTCCATGTCTTTTTATGTGCAATATACTAAGAAAAAGAAGGTTTTTCTGACAGAAATATGAATCCCCAGTTCTCCCCCACAATTGTCCAGATGTTAACCCTTTGAGGGGTGGGGAAAATCACAATCCACATATGCTCAGTACTGGCCAGAGATGGATCCAAGAAGGTCATGCTGAAAGTCAGTAAATAAAGTGACTGGAGGTAGGATCCAGTGAGAGAAAAAAAGGCACATGGGGTGGAGAGACAGACCCAATAAGGAGTGTGGGTACTGAGTACTTACACTTTTTAGGCAAAGATGGAGCAAAAAGCTGGGGAGGTAGCAGTAGATTGAGACCAGTATTGAATAAGGAGCTTGAGAGGAAGAATTGGGACAAGAGTACGGCAAATAGGAAGCTTGACAAATAATTGCTGTTAGGACAACTGCAATCTCAGAAAGTAAGCCCAGAAGAAAATGGAACAATAATCTAGACAAAGGTACTCAGTGGGAGATGAGAAATCAGAAGCAGAACATAGCATTGGGTAAGCAAGGAGCTTCAGACTGGGATGAAGATTCAGAATGAGACAGGGATGTTGCTGGGTTAAGTAAAGAGTATGGGATCACAGGGTCAAGCTGGCAGTGAATATATGGCTGAATATCTTTTTCTTTGTCCAGCTTCATAAAGTTGCATCATGAAGAACATAATATATAGTTCTAGTTGGTTAGTCATGTATGGGAAATCTTAACAGATTCCTCCTGTTTAAAACCATGCAGATATCAATACAATGCTGTGAGATGCAGTGCCTGGGGTTTTATGGCTTGCAGTTAAAAAGAGTGGAAAATTTAGTATGCAGTCATGTAACCAAAGAATTGTACATTAGAACACATGTAGAAGGAACAAGTTTAGCAAAGTTTGTACAATAGCTTTTCTTCCATGCATCACATTTTTCCTCTGTGCAATGACACACTCCTCAGCAAGCCTCTTTCTCTCCAACTCTGTTTTTTGCATCCCCCTCCACATTTTTCCCATATTCGTTCCTGAAGAATTGCATTCAAGATGGTAAATAAGCGTAGATCCATTTACGTTTGATGCCAGGCTTGGGTCTGCTGGCTCTGTTCCTACAAAAAAGACACTGAAGCTTCAAATTCATGCAACTGGACGTAGCTCAAATCCCTTGCAGAGATTTTATCTGGATTGATAGTGAATTCTGCACTGAAGTTTATCAGAGCTGGGTTCATTTCAGTGCTCGCAGGTCAGGGTATATGTCCATATTATAGTCTCATGCAAAGAGATAACATCAGACACTTACTGGAGCATAATTTTTTTTCCCTCTTCAGTCACACTGTTAACTGACTATCAACCAGTATGATTTCCTGGCAAGGAAATACTACTCCTTTATATCAACCCTCATGGGACTGATGCAAGTTAAGACAGTGTAACTCTCTTGTAGGGATCAAAGAAGTCACCCACTGGATCCCAGCGAGTCTCAAGTACTCTTTCTTTCTCATAGAGTTGTAAATTGCTTGCATGGAGCTAAAGCGTATTTGACAGAAGAGTTTTTAATTCATGGAACTAGGCAGGCGATCTATGAGATGATTAAAAACATCCTGGGGGAAGGCAACTCCCAAAACTGCACTTACATAAAGAGACCAATGTTTAGACCATTTGCCAGATGGTGAGCTGTCATATTTACTCTTCTTAGAGATTAGAGTAGCAATATCAGCATTTAAACTTTGCCCCTCAGTAAGCAATACATATGTTCCCATATGGACCAAAGTTGAAACAAGAAAATTAAGAACAATTACATTTCATTCACCCACAGTTGTGGTGGAGTCTCCACAAAAGCATGTTTTACAAATGGAGACTATAGCACAGCCTCAAAAATTAATGACTCTCTTGCTCCCTTCTTTCTTTCTTATAGGTGAGGATATTATTCATCCACTAAATATAAAGTGTCTTTGGTACTACTGGCAGCTGAGTAGTATAAACCCTGAAGACAGTGAGGATCAAGACATCTAAGATGCTCCACTGAGGGACGAAGAACAACTTGTCTCCTCCACTGCCATTTCTAATAGCCTCAGATATGAGGCACTCTTTAGCCTTTTCAGAGTTTGAGTGATGCACATTATGCTGGAACAGGCAGCTATTTCTTTTTCTGCCTGCAGAGCGTTCCTTCTGTGGTCAGATTTTAATCTGTCTCATTTCTAATGAATAACACCACAATGTTGTATTACACAGCTTTCCAGAGAAGGATTGCTACAATATCTCATCTGCCAGGAAAAGTCAATGTCTTGGCAGGCTCTTTATGAAATATCTAAATTGAAGAGCTCAGATACTCTGTCATATTCTCTACCATGTATCTGACAGTCAAGATGTTATCAATAAATCTACTCAAAGCTGGGTAGCTTTGTCGATAGAGGTATCCACATGTTCTGCCTTCTGAATGCCTGAATGTCCACTTGAAGAACTATAGATGAGCCTCCAACATTAGCGATGGAATGATTGATCGTGAAGGATGTCACCTCCCACCATCATAACACGCTGGCAAAACTTGCTGATGTCTATGTTAATGTGCATGTAACTCACTGAGATTGAGGCTGTGTCCAAACCTGTTCCTGGCCCAAAATTTTAAAATTTAATTAACTTGACTGTTAGAATGAGAGCTCCTGTTTGGTCAGTATCCAAAATACCTATGGTATTTGGGAAATCAGATGGAAATGGTTTCATTGGATTGGAATTCATATACTGCAATTTTTTTGTCCTACGTGCAAGATACAAGAAAGTTGGAAGCAGAAGTGTTATTGCTCATACAATTTGCCTGTGCATGTTTAGAATTTTTAAACATTTAAGTTGATGTACAAATGCATATCCTCAAACATCCCTTTCTCTGAACACAAAAATGAATTTTAAAGGTATCCTTAAGCCTAAATTGACTTTCCAACTGTGATTCAAAGAGGTTGGAGTCAACATAGTAAAAGTTAAGGTGTTGCTGGGAAAAATATAGAACACATATTTCTGCAAATCATACCAGATATTTCTATTTTGTATTGCATAATCATTAATTTCATTAATTTCAAATATGTTTATGAAAAGAAAAGGTATTTTATGTCCATTTTAATCACAAGTACAGTAAGCAGATACCAGTTTATCTGTATTAGGTTTACATCTTGAAGAAAGGAGTGAACATTTTCAGAATGGGATAGCCAAGTTGTGCCTGACATATGTACCTAAGGACAAGTAACCCTATCTTCCTGTCAAGAATAAGTGATTGTCTAGATAATTGCTTATTTATTGTTGTAGTAATTTGTTTTGAAGAAGAAATCAAGAGTTAACTTTAATATGTTGCTTGATAGAGTCTTCCAGTCTTCCCTATAAAACAAACAGCGTGTTGTTGACATACAGGAAGGCTAGAATCTCATTGCTTCCTCTAACCTTCAGCCTAAATATATATGCTTATATGCATTTTTTCTAGTTACTACATCATCCATTGGTTTAAATAGCTCTGCCTTCAGAATCGTTAGTTTTCTGATGCCAGGGGTTAAAGACCTTGTCAAAAATGTGGACTTTACTGGTAACACATACTGGAGTCTTTTCAACCCCAGATAGGAAATGCAAACTGGCTTAGACTGGACAGACACAAATGTTTCCTATAAATGTAATCTTTACCTATTTATACTTTAAACATTCAGGCTTGCATGTCTAAGGGAATAAGAAAGCACACTTAGTTTACCATACTCGAGACCTCTTCCAGTTAGCTTCAGTAGTGGCCTGGTCTTATACAGGTCGATATCCTTGCTTTAATTTTAGTTCTTTAATACTATTCAGTTTATTTAAACCTGTTTTACACACATTTAAGTATTTGCAGGATTGTGGCTTTGATTGTGTGTCATACATGTTTGATGCCAGCAACAATTTGATCTTCACTATTTAAAAGTGCTTGCTTTTGTTGTTCAATCATTTTTTTGTGTTCATATGCTGTTTAAGATTCATATCTCCTATGTCTAGTTTATTGTTAGTTGCACTGCATGGTAATGGTAAAATATAGTTTTAATTTTATGAGATGCCAGGAACCTAATAAATCATTATAATAAGAAAAGGATGGTAAATTATTCTGCTATCAAATTTATTTTTCCTTTTTTTTCCTCCTGTGATTCATATGAAATAATGCAGATGTTTATAAGCAAAGAATTAAATCTAAAATGTGTAATGAAGCTAATGGAAAGATGCTCAATGCTTTTGCTACATGATAATTTACCTTAAAAGGGTTCTGGTTCCAAACCTTAAGAGCTTCCACATGTATATCACTAAGACTGGTGCTTTAGGTACAAACATTAAGTCAGCAACAACTTGCTTTACTTTGTGTCCTTGTCAGGAGCTATAAAAATATTTACTATATGCATGGATATTCATTGACTTAAGCAGGATTAGGCCCTCAAAATGCCATTTGTTAACCTTACTATGCAATGGAATGTCGTAGTATATCATTCTTATGTAAATTTTGTTTTATTAGCCTTCTTTGTAGGAAAAAAAAAATAAATCAAATGCCATGACATAATCATCACTTTCTCTTTATTCCTCAAATAGCAGCACATACCTTAAGCTTCTTTACACTCGTGCAAGGATCATTGGAGAAACTCTCAGTATCTGAAATTTCAATGTCTTCACCATACAGGACGCGAGTCAGATCATTCCTCACCTGCCAAAAGTTGAGAAAAAGGCGAACAAGTGAACTGAGACTCAGTGAGGAGGAAGCAGATGGACTATATTTATCACTATAATGACAAGCAATGATCTCAACGATGATATATGCCCCCACAGGGTTTTTTTCCATTTTGCCTAAAATCTGATCAAGACACTATTCTTTTACCATCATAATCCACTATCAACGCGGTGTACTATGTAAAGAGCTTTACTATGCGTGACAAAAAGTTCACAGTGGGCTCCCACTTTATATCATGGGGATGGACAATTTTTGTGTATTTCCAGTGGTGTTAAGTCCACCAAAAGCTTTCTTGCAGCCAAAGCGATGTTTGAGACTGTACAAAGGGAAAAGACTCATCAAGGAAACTCTTAAATATTCTCAGTGCTGAGGGCAGATTTGAAACCACTGTCAGCGGGTCCTAGCATGAATCAGTGGAGATTAGCTTACGTCAGTTAGGGACTGGTAAAGCTTAATGAACTCCTCTGTGCTCTCCCCCTTTCTTAGAGCATGCATCTCACTGCATGGGGCAGCAAGCGGTGTGATTTGCTTAAAGGTGACACAAGCAACCATCTATCAACAGATTTTCTCACCCCTTTTTTTAGTGGCAAGATCCTGTCCTCTTTGAACTGCCTAATAGCACAAGAAGCCAGATAACATACAAAGCAATCTGGTTTACAGATTTAGGGGTTTTTCCATATAACTACTTCAAGGTTTTCTGTGGTTTTCTTAACCACTGCTGCTTTTCCTCCAGCCACATGACTGCAAAAGCACAGTTTCACATTGCTATTCCTAATAGATGGGCAAAAATAATTTTAGCTGGAGATAACGTGGTTACAGACTGAAATGAAGAGAGCGGCACTCCAAAGTTAATTTAATAAAATTATGATCGTATTTTTCGCACTGATTGCCTTTTTTATTTGTTTGTTATATCAGAAATAGGAGAAACAAATCACAGTGTAAAACAGGTATCTCAAATGCAAAGAGAGAAAGTACAATACGTGGAAGAGAAATCTACATAATATTAAACAGGAAAATTTAGAAGTGTATAAATCATATGCAGATACTTTCCAATGACCCTCTCTATTGGTCACTGGAATTACGCATTTTAAATTTCCCTCCTAACTCTCCTTTTCCTTGTCGTCCTTGAGAGAAGCACAGTCAATTCAAAACAATCTGAAAATATTTGATATATAGTGACACGGTCAAGTAAAGAAGAGAAAGTGGTATCTGCCCCTCAGGAGCAGGAACTTCATTTTAATTGAAATAACCATAATGTTTGTCTAATGAGAAGACATTTTATCCATGCAAAAATAAGACCCAGATATTGCTAAATTTCCTGGGCTGAAAGTCTGTCACACTCGTGCCTAAGTATACAGCAAAAGCAAGGGGATGCACTGAGACATGAAAGGTCACAGGTGAGACTTCTGAGTTCTGCTGGCAGCTTTGCTTTCAAGACAAACTCATCTCTTCACTAATCCTCCAGCCTTTCTTTAATATATGTTTGTGAGTATCCTCCCAATCTGTGCATGTTAGTTGTTCTGCTGAGTGTATTTCATGCTTTTATGTTTACCATGCAACTAATTTGTTTTTTTTCAGTATGCTGTTGAACTGTTAGATAGTAACATAGTTTTTGGTAAAAAAGAGGAATGTTAAAACTGTCTTTGTGCTTTTGCAAATTTCTTCATGACAAAGAAGGATAATCTGATTTCTGCAATGTAGAAATTGCATTAATTGATCCTCAAACAACATTCCACCTCCTTGCTGATCCCTTTAAGTTGGTTTTGCCAAGTTTCTTGGTTGACTGGTGAAGTATTTCCTGAAGATCATTACTACACTGGCTGCCTTAATTACTTATTTCATGGATTCTGCTTCATCTTATCCCTTTTAGCCATGCTTTAAAACCACTAAGACATATTTTTACATTACCACCTTTTACAATGATTAAAACAAGTGGACACATAGGTAATTTTTATATTAAAAATTATTTTATTTTACAGAAGCAACAGTCAGAATGGTCAGTCCACCAAGATCTGAGTTATATCCTTCATCCTTTTGTGATGTTATAACCAGTTTTTAAGCACATTCTGTGAAAATGTATTCACTGACAAAAAGTGATCGGTAGCGACTCCTTTTTCTGCTAGTATACTAGTAAAATGAATTTGATATGATTGATATTTTAGCTCCAGCAATGCCATTAACTGCTCCTTATGATACAGGTCTTTCTTGATACAAAGAAAAATTGCTTTTCTGAAATAAACCTTTGATGATAAGAAAAGAAAATAGACCTCTCTTGATCATAGTTTAACTAATGTCCAAAATCCTTCTACCTAGTATAAAAGTTCACTAAAACTATCATGTTACTTGGCAAAAGTAAAATTTTCCTTAGCTAACAGAACTGTACGTTCCAAAGGCATACAACTTGTCATATGCTTCTACCCCATACTGTCCTGACGCCTTCTGTAAAACAAGAAATTTTTTAGTTGCAGGTTTGCTTTTCTGATATTTTCTTGATTTTTTTCTGAAGCCCTTTCTAGTCATTCTTTTAATCTCAGAGAGACTAGATTAACATTACTCAGCTGATCTGAGTAGAAAACAGCTGATTCACCAAACACAGTTTAGTCAAATTAGACCATTATTAACATGAGAAAAATTATTAAAAATACACATTAAATATTATTAGAATAGACTAACACTTATACATAGGCTTCAGTGGAAAGCACAAAGCCGACATTTGATTAGACTTGAGACTGTCTACTGACTTGCTGTGATTCCTTCCCTTTAGAACTTTGCAATTGAGGTATTCAATTGCATATTGTTTTTTTCCTGAGCAACAATTATTTAAATTCAGCCACTGAGAAATTTCTTTGACACCCCCCTGCTCCATATGCTAGAAGTCCACTATTTTGTAGCTTTCAGAGCTCTTAGACTTTTCTTTGAACTACTGATTAACCTCCCAAAAGACATAATTTACTAGATTTGGTGCCAGAGAAGTTAGAAACTTTTTCTCTTTAATGCCACAATCAGATATTGGATGTTTTTCAGATGCATCTGTTTTGGAGATTTTGCCAAAAGAAAGGTGTTTCTTTCCCATTATCACAACAAGATATTAGGAGCTTTTTAAGAATTTACAAGGTTTACATTATTTTTCTAGAAGACTTAATGCTTTTTTTCCCCTTTCAATGCTATGACCACTAGTCTGACAAATCTCATCTTATGCTTGGTCCGGGGAGGGGGGGTATTTCCACTACATTTTCCAGTCTTTGATTCCTATTTCCATACTTTTTTGTCACCATCCTCAGGTTCTTTTCTTTCTTTCTAAATATTCTAAATATCTCACAGAATTGAAACTTGCATTTTGATTCCTACAGCAGCTCTTCACTTCTTTCAAATAATTTTAACTACAGAATCTTCTGATCTGGATTTGGGTCCAACGTCAGAATTTGCAAGGCCTCACCTCCAGTTATAGAGCTGACAATTCCTGTAGCAAATGTTGCAATTTTGTGATTAAATTTGTGAAATTCAGAATATAAAATGTTGCATGTTTTGTTTTAGCAGATGCTTGCAGTCCTGGAAAGCATATCACCAGCAGTACAAGCAGTTTCAGAGCTCAGCAATTTCATTCCACCAACTCTGAGCAAAGAAAATTGTAAAATACTATACTTCTCCTTCTTCATTGTGTAGAATAGGATAATTTCAACTGGAAGAAACTGGTGGTGATCTGCAGTTCCTAAGAAAATCTTGCACTAACTTGCAATACAGAAGTAGTATAATTCCATGAGGTTTTAGCCCCTTGTTAACAATTTAATGAAGGCTGTGTCTCTATGTCTGTTTATATAAATTTTACACACTTTAAAGACACCACCATTTAATTTTCCCAAAACAGGGACTACCAGACCTGATCATCAACAAAACTGGAAGGTTTCACAAACCACTGCTTAGAGACCCTCATCCTTCACTCACAGGAAAAAAAGAGCACTTTTACGCTGCTCTGTGTAGAAAGATGGATGAAATCAGTATTTCACCATGCTACATACTTAGCAGAGTTACATGTGGTCAACTTCAAAAATTACTGGGTTGTAAATATGTTTACCCAGCAGCAAGCTCCAGAAAATGAAGTGGTTATATCATGTGTAAGGGATGCATTTGCAGAAAGAAAAGGATGGCCCTTGTGGTTTGGCAATGGACGGGACGCAAGAGAACTGTCTTTTATCCCTCATTCTGCCAGAGCTGCTCTGTGATACAGCTCATGTGACCTAAATAAGATTTTAAAGCTTACTACCAAGTCTGGCTGTATCCTTTTTCTGTGAAGTGGATGACAGCATTACTTGCCTACCTCATAGCTGTTGTATCAAATTCAGTGATGTTTGAGAGGCAAACAACAAAGTCCCTGACCCTGCACCTGTGAAGGAAGAAATACAGGGGGTTTCAGGAGCCAAGAACTTGTATTGCCAAGGAAGAAATTAATTTTTTTAATCTTGAGCAAATTGAGAGCAGACAGAATGACTAAATGGGCTGTAAAGAAAAAAAAAAATTAATCTAGATGGGACAAAATTACAACACTCTTGTGGTCTGTATCAGGAAGGGTGGATTTAGGTTTAAGGAAAGGAAGCAAATTTTGGGGAGTGGCATGTGCCAGCTGCTCCCTAAGGAACAAGGACATGAGTGCCTTGTCATGACATGACCTCCCCAGCCAGCACCCCAGGGAGGGGAGCCAGACAGGCTCAGGGAAAACAGCCAGTTTCAGCCATGGGGCTAGACCTGCAGGCAAGCTCACAGCGATATGACAGGTCCAGGATAAAGCTTGGAAGTCCATCCACGAGTCAGGGACACGATCAGGTCTGGTGAGAATAACCAGGGTCAGGCACAGTCCCGTGACTGCTGGGCAGGTCCGTACTGACAAGACAGGTCTGAGGACAAGCCAGAAAATGAGTCCAAACCAACAAGGTCCATGCCAGGCATGGCCGTGATGGAGAGAGAGACCAGCACTCCCACAG